AAAATCCTAACCTCTTAATAGGGAGAAAAAATATTCCATCACTAATGTCAGTGCGTAACTTTAGGGAAACTAAAAGCAATGTACATCTAGGATGATCCACGATTACAGAAACAAAAAAAAAAATTAAAGCTACTTCTTATCATCAATTATAGACCAAATCACTACTGAGATGGATGTAACAGTGCTATTCCCACTGTTACCATCTCAGGACCTGGTCCAAAGTATCAGAAATAGATGAGAATCAGACTGAACAGGTATTCATTGTGTAGGCAGTCTCTGCTAGATATCCTACAGAATCTGGAACAACAGAGTCTGAATCTTGGATTAGGGGTTTTGGTCACTACAGTAAAAATATTTACAAAAATAATGGCTAATATAACCCCCATTGAATGACAAATCAGGAAGAAATGGTTAGAATATATTTTAAAAATACAGGTATTGTTCAAAAGGTACATTTTCTCTTCCTCCCCAGTATTATTTCACTCCTTTTCTCTTCTCCAGTCAAGTTCAGAATCTCTTTCCTGTTTTATGAACGTTCAGGTCATTATGAAAATTTCTTAACTGTTTGCTGAGTGTTCAAATCACATGGATGAATAAGAAGAAATAAGACTAAATTACGCAGGAAGAAGAATATACAAGTTAGAAGAATCCCGGAGTTACTCTATGATAACATTATTTTCAAAACCCCTACAATTTATTGTTCCAATCACAATTTTGTAACTTGCATTCCTAATAGATACCTAAAACATAAGTAAAACCCACATTCTTCAAAATATATTATTTCAGTACAGAGAGAGGTACTTTTGGTGTATTCTGCTTAGAATAATACACAGAATATGTATGTTTATGTGGAAATTTGGCTTAGACCAATGGCTTAGACCAGTAAGGTGAAAATTTGGTAATGGGACATAAGGAAACCCTTTCAAGTATGAGGAGTTGTATCTTCTACTACATCATGATTCGTAATATAGCTGCTGCTGTTTTCATTTATCCATGACCTAAACCTCAAACAATAAAGGAGGAAACACCCAAATCCCCACTATTAAGCCTTTGGTTTCAATCACCCCCCATATCCCTAAGTTTGACAGATCACTGTATTATTATTGTCAAATTTGTATCGTTTTATCAAACGTGTACGATCTTACCCGTTCACGACCTGGTTGCCCTTCAGTTGTTTTGCTGCCTTGCTGCTCTCTTGCACGTGCCCAGCTTACCTCCTCTGTTTTCATGCAGTCTCCTCTTTATTCATGTCTCTATCACAGCTTGTCTAAATTAATTAGTATTAAGCTTTTGATACGACTTTGCATAGAAATATTTTCACTATTTTTGCCGTTAAGCTATGTATTTCTAGACTGGCTAGAGCAACGCAGCGATATGCTTTGTGTAAGGGTTTTGTAACACTTTTTTTAGTGTATTTTCAATTCAATTCCTTTTTACAACCTGGCGCTTTATTTCCTTCTTGCTGGCTTTGTACATTGGGGGACACTTTTCAGGGAATTATATCATGGCCTTTCTTCTCAAGAGGAGTTCAAACTCCTCATGATCATACACAACGCCTTCCTCGTTGATCTTTCCTAAGGTTCTGCATTGAATGTACCCCTCAGAGCACAGCGCAGGAACCGCCCAGCAGACACAAACTTGAGCAGATACACTCGTGGCACAGTGAAAGCTCCACGTAGAGCCACCAGTTTACACCTGTAGCTACTGCCCCAATGGCAGAGCTTAAGGGAGTAGGTTTGGCTCATCCATTCCACTGCGCTGACGCTGCTCTGCAGCCTTCAGGTCCACAGAGAGCTGGGTCAGAAGCAGGCTGGGTCTTCTGGACCGTGCTTCAGTGCGTACTGTGGGCATACGTGGCCTATCAGGGACGTGACTGACCTAAACCATTTTATCTCGTCTGCAAATATTGCCCCGTTTCTCTCATTCCTGTTTCTAGAGAATTAATTTTTTAAACTCCATGGATCTCCACCTAGACACTTGGGGGAACTCTGCTTCTGCTAAAATGCTCCACTTACCCTTATGATTTTTTTCTCTTAGGCACAGAGAGTCCGATAACGCTTTGCCCTGTGACACTTGCTTACTTTAGTACCTTCTCCTACTCCACAGAAGCTATGCTAAAGGGGCTTTTTGACAGTTCAAATACACTGCATCGATTAATTCTCACTCACTCTACCAAAATTCTAATACATTGACAATCTTTCTGTGCAATTTTCCTGGACAGATGCCAGCTATCTTGTTCCTAAAACTCTAGAGTTACAATTTTATGTCCTATGCTAAGGTTTCTCAGCAGCCTCTAATTTACAAGATTTCCTACTCTTTGGTTACTAGCTCTTGTTAGAAACTGAAAATTAAGGAAACAGACAATCCACTGACTTCTTATCTCTTTTAGGTAATTTTTCAACAACATCCTCTTCCACGACTCAGTCTGGCGCGCTATTTGAAATGGTTACCTGGGATGGGCAGCTCCCTAGATATGCCTGCTCTCCTTCCTCCATCCCTCCTCCGGTAAATACAAATGCAAAGAAACAGTTTAGAACCTCGGCAACGTCCTTGTCCTCACTCACTGCAGCTCAAGCATCCCACTAATTCTTTCCTAGCTTACCACGCCTGATATATTAAAAATTGTTGGTATTTCTTTGTATGCATTGGGCTCTTTGCTCTAAGAGGTCCCTCGTACCTCCACTAACTACTATCCTGAAGTTCACCTGCTAGACCTTCCATTCTTTTCTGATCATTTTGCTTAAGAATCTCTTTTTTAAGAGACCTTTTTAGTTCAAATAGTTTTTGTATTCTGCCACATACTTTTTCTTCTTCACTGCTGATTTTTCTGACAGCCATTTTCATACATGCTGCAACTTGTTATACAGTATTTTTGCTGAATAGGACAGTTCTGTTTCATACATTTTAATAACTTCTTTTAAGAAAATCGTTCTACTGACAAACTGATTTTGATTTCATCTTCTTTGTTAAGAAGTTGAGTTTAGTTTTATTACAATTGCAATTACCCAGTGGCTCAACTAAAGCTCCTTCCTGAATCAACTTCCCCTTATGCATTCCTCTTGCCTTATATATTGAATACATCATTAATAATGAATTATTTACCCACTGCTAGAACTATTGTGCTCACTTTCTTTTCTTTGCTCCTGTTATTTGCTTTACAACTATAATCTACAATTTTACCAAAGAAAATATTAAATAAAGGAGAATAAAACAGAGAAATATTACCCTTGTTTTGTAGGAGTTTTAGCTTTGAGGTTCAAAGAAAAAAAAGCAAAACTCAATCTGGATTCTCCAGTGAGGATTACATTATGCCACTCAATTATATTGCTTACTTCTGACATTTTACCTCCAATCTTTTACGCCCTTCTACCAGTAAAGTGTAAAATGCAGAGCAATGTCTATACGTAAACACATTGTTCAACAATACTACTTATGTCAGCTCAACAAAATCTAAAAATCCCTAAACTATCGATAAAGTAAATATTTGTTATTTGAAATAAAACTCCCAAGCCTAGAACAAAACAACAGAAATCACCACTGAGGTGTCAGCAGATACAACCATCACTGCAACGCACACGCTGCATCGGAACTCTGTTGTGATCAGACCATCAGTGCCACTGAACTCAAATCTTTAACTGAAGTAATTGAGATTAAATTAGTACTGCTAGATTACAGCTTAGTACTAAAGAGCGTTTCTTAGAGGTAAACGATGGAAGACCAGTTAGG